GGGGGACAGTGCACAGCGAGGAGAAAGACGCACGGGAGCTAGGGGGCGCTGTCCGACAGCCTCGTGCGAGTCCAGCGCACCGTGCCAGGGGCACAGACTGGCAGAGAAATGCTGTTTGCGGAGGTGTTTAAAGTTGGGGGTGAGACCAGGAATAAAAAGACAGGGCAGCGGCACCGACTCGTTCAGGGAGGGAAACGGCACCAGGCTCTGCCGAAACGTCTACCGACAAACCCCAGGAGGAGGGCCAGGAGCCCAGGCTACGCTGACTGGCACACACCACTGAGCCTTCTCCCCCTACAAGCACCGCAACACACACACACGCCCCCTGCTGGACAGGGGACGCGGCGGTACTGACGGGGAACACAGCACAGCGCCGGCGTGGCGTACTGTATGGACCAGAGACTGAACCAGACCAGGCTGAGTGAGCCTCTCTCACTCCTCTCACCACTGTTCAGAAACCAGTCTCAGATTCACCAGTTTCTTATACAACCTCCCTGGCTGACCGCTCACCAGGGTGTCCCAGCGCCACGAGCCCTGCGCCAGCGGTAAACCAGGCGCTGCGCCCCAGCCACACGCCAAGAGAAGACTAACCCTCCGCCATCAGCCAGTAACGAATAAGAGCACCCCTCTCGTTCAGCCTAACCCCCCTGCGCAGGACCACGCCGGTCCCGCGCACAGCTGACGACGCGGAGCAGAGGGGCGAGCACCCCACCCAACCCCACCCCCTTTCGTCTCCTTCCCATCCCGCGAGGACGAGAGGCACTGCTCCTGCCTGCCAGGGCTGCTCCACGCGCGAACACACGCTTACACACGCTTACACACGCTTACACACGCTTACACACGCTTACACACGCTTACACACGCTTACACACGCGTGCGCCACGAGGAGGCTAGGGGTGTCACGTCGCCCCTCAGCTTGACGCCAGGACAGCAGGCCCAGGCAGGAGATGCCCAGTTCCTTCCACACGACAGACAGACGCCCAGGAAAACGCGTCGCTCGTGCTCCACACCCTGGATGGTCGGAGTGAACCCCCGTGCTCAACGGCGCGCTGGAAGCAACGCCAGGGGCTCATGAGCACTAAAACCTGTCTGTGTTTCCAGTCTTTGTGTGCGTGGCGAGCCGTGGGACCGAGGCGCTAAATATAAACGTGCTGACAGAAATAAGACAATAAGCTGACAGGAAACAAACAGTACAGTACAAGCACGGATCAGGGCCTCTCTCGATCTCTCTCTCTTCCTGGCAGAAGCTATGTAAAAAGACTCAGGCCTGATCCAGGCTATAAATCACTCAAGATTAGGAGCCCTAATGAGCCCAAACAGGTCAGGGCTAAAAATACAGCCCCCCCCCCTCCCCACCCATTCATACAACCCCACCTCCTGACAGGAGAGACCCAGAGGCCCCAACACGCGGTGAGGGACGGCATGCACCGCCATTATAATAATAATAATAATTCCTTACACTTATATAGCGCTTTTCTGGACACTCCACTCAAAGCGCTTTACAGGTAATGGGGATCCCCTCAACCACCACCAATGTGCAGCCCCACCTGGATGATGCGACGGCAGCCATAGTGCGCCAGAACACTCACCACACAGCAGCTATCAGTGGGGAGGAGAGCAGAGTAATGTAGCCAATTCATAGAATGTAGCCAATTACCCAGCACAACCCTCCCATCACCCTCGCCTGGGCTCTGGGCACCATGGGGTACCCCCCTGTGACAGCGCAGTGAAGGGCCGTCACCCCGCACCCCCCGGTATCCGACACCGCGATGACAGGTGCCGCCAACTGTCCAAACACGGGCCCGTGTGCCCAGAGCGATTTAGATAAGACCAAAGATTCCTTAAAAAGTACAACAAATATTGACGCTGACAATACGCAGGACAACTGTGTGAAAGGGCATTCAGATCCTTCACTGTGTATGCACCCTTGCAGGGCGGTGTGGCACAGTGCAGTGTAATAGAACACAGCACAGCACAGCGCAATTCAGTACAACAGAGTGCAGTACAATACAGTGCAGTATAGCACATGAAGTGCAATTCAGTACAATACAGTGCAGTTCCGTGCAGTGCGCCTAGTATGCTTTGCGCCGAGAATGTCAGAAGCTGTTTCGGATGTACAGGAATTCCTGAGCTACAGCTCATAATACTGATGACTCAAACACTCACACACCTAGAAAGGCAATGACTCATAATCTCCAAGCACCCAACTCCTCTGGACCCCGCGGGGCCCCCTCAGGCACGCGCCCCGACATCTCGCGCAGGGGCCCGGAGTCAACGGGGACAAGAGGGTGGGGGCCTGGAGCCTGTGGAGCCTTCTGCTGGAAGGGCTTCCCTCTGCGAGAGCCGGGCACGGATGCAGGAGCAGTGCCCTGGCCTGGCTCTGGAGGAGCCCTCTCCTTGGATTCTGCTCCAGCTGAGCTCTGCAGCGCAGGCTCCTTGATTTCCTGTTCCCGTGTGGGGCGTGACTGTCAATTTGCTCACGGGTCTCGTGGCTTGGAATCGGTACCGACACCGGACCCATTCCCGGGCCTCAGAACTGCCCTCCCTCGGGGGGGGGGGCTGAAGTCGCTGGAAACTCGGGTCCGACCGAAGCAGCGAGGTAAATAAAGACCCGAGCGGTCCAGCAGATCAGCGAAGTCATCGGTTAGCCACTGCGGACGTACAGATCAGCTGGTGTGGAAGCTAGTGGACAGAGTTCCTCCGGGACCAGGGCTGGGAACAGCCGCAGAGACCCAACGACCCCGAGCTCTCCGCACGCACAGAGCACAGTACCTGGGACCTCCACGCAACTGCGGGGCGTTATTCACGTGGCTGAAGATGTTCGCTAAACTCCGGCCACACAGGAAAGGCAGGCGCACACCTGCAGCAGGTCCAAAACTACAGCAACACACCAACAACACGCTGGCTAGGGGCAGCAGGAATACTGCTGCACACAACAGAATGTGCGCCAAGACCGACAAAGAACCAGCGCACACACACACACAAGCTGGCTGCACACACACACGCGCGGGAAGGTGGAGAGGAGTTATCTCTGTCGCTGATTACGCTGCAGAATTGTCTTTTCAAACATAACATTTACACGCCATTGTGCTCGAAATCACACCCTTCGGACTCTGCAATTTCGGAGGTGAGGTGAAGTGCTTGGAAAGGGAAAATGGTACGTGTGGAGAGGGCAGTGCAGCGAGCTGGCTTGCGTGTGCGTGTGCGTGTGCGTGCGTGTGCGCACGCGTGTGTGAATATGGACGAGTGTGTTAATGCGTGTATTTGAGAGCGGGCAGCTGTGAGCGCGCGCTCGATGCCGAATCCCGCTTTGACCCAGTTTGCCGCGGCTCTCTGCTCGGCCCTGCCTGAGGGAGAGAGAATGTGCCTCTGCTGAAAAATTAAAGGACGAGCCAAAATGTGCTCAAACACACAGCTGACAGACACAGACTTACAACACACAGCTCTGTGCCGAGCGAGAAGATCAAGACAGGAGCTGAGAAAAAGACCACCCATCTAGTCCCCTACAAAAACATCACACGACCAAGGACGCGGGTCTCCCCGCTGGGGCTACCTTTGCGTCCAGAACCTGTTATCGGGTCGGCCCACTGCTCTCAGAGCGGACCGGCCGCGGGGGAGACCTGCAGTTGCCACGGCAATGCAGTGTCTCCAGGGCGAGGCAGGTGGGACCGTTCCTCGCTGTTCCCGTTCTGCGGGCGGACGCACGGACCGACAGGCCAGGCTTTCCTTTCCGGTACAAGTTGGGGGGGGGGGTGGATGCGTAACCCGGCAACGCACCCGGCATAACGGTCACTGATCGGCACTGTTCCCAGCTCCCGGCGGCCCCCACTCACGGCACCACACTAACACACACACACACACACACCTGGCAAGCCCGGGTCACGCCAGGTCCCGACACGTCCACAGACCCTTCTCCAGGACCGGGACCCATGACACCGCATCCAACCTCAGGACAGGACAGCGGGACGGGGATAAGGAGAGTCACTTAGACAGAGGGATCAGGGCCACAGAGGCAGAAGGAAAACCAATGGGCAGGTGCGACTGGAGCCCCACTCTGGTTCCGTGTTGGGCACAGGCATTCTTAAACCGATATGAGGGCAATACAGGATAATACAGAGGGGGGAGCGTGATCCCTTTCTCTCCAGGGCTACACCGCCTGGGTGCACAAATGATCTGCCCCCCCGAAGGCGTAGCAGCAATCGATACC